GCCAGGTCAGGACCAATAATATTGCAGATTCTTCTTTGGATTTTATCACTTAATATATAGTAGATGCACCGTACCATATTTGGCACCAATATTCTTAACATGGCGGCCAGATGTAAGGTGTGATGTGATCGCGAAAATTGTCTTTCTCTTTTAATATGTGTGGTATTTTTAGATAAAAAAAATGTCGTTTAATTGATTTCCATGTATGATTAGTGCATTTGATATATTGTTGTATATAAGATCTCTTTTGTGTTCACAGATACGTTTTTTTTAAATTTCTCCAAGTTTCCCTAATGTAGTGTGAGGAGCAGTTCTGGCAATTTATTTTATATATACCTGCTTCAGAATTATTATTGTTATGGGTATTTTTTGTTCTGATCATATCCTTAATGGTTTTGAATGTGGTTGTAATTATTTTGATATTGTTAAGATTGGATAAATTGATTTGATAAAAAAAATTGTCGACTAAGTTTTCCTTTTGTCTTTACTCTTATACAGGATGCGATGTGTAAATTGTCGCCATTTCATATTTTGATTTCGTGCATGCGCGTTGTTTGTTTTTGATTTTGTCGACTGCACAGTATTGTAGGGTCAGTTGGGCACTGTCTGCGAGAAAAAGAGCACAGTGATGTAATTCACTCCACCAGAAATTTGGAAACGGAATATTGTACTGCTTGGCATTCTCATCGGAAGCTCCAATACGAAGATTTCAGATTGTTTGGGTGTCAATATGAGGACAGTGTAGAAGATTCGGAAAGAGTTGGATGAGTCTAATGGAGATTACGAAGGTGCTTGAAGTGATCTCTAGCGATGACGACGTTATGCTTCCTACAGTGGCTCAGATTTAACACGGTGGCCTACATCAAGTAAATTGAGGAGATAATGCAGCTGTGGGAGAAGAGGGTGACTGCTGGAAACCCTATGTCTGGCAATAGGAATCTGCATCATGCCTGATAAGGAGGAGAACACAGTTCAGGCGGTCAGACAATTTCTGCGATCACATCACCCGTTACATCTGGCCGACTAATTCCCCAGACTGCAACCCCCTTGATTATTATGTAGGGGTGCAGTTGAGCAAGAGACCAACAAAAATCCTTGTAACACCAAAGATGAGCTGAAGGCAAGGATTATGGCAGCATTTATCAAGTTAAACAAGGAGACCGTCCAGAAGAGTTGCAGGAGATTCTGAAGTCGCCCGGAGGCCATGGTTGAAGCTATTGGCAATTTTATTGAATAAATTTACTCTTTAGCATTTAAAAATATTTCTGTGTAATTTTAATAAATATATCTGTTAAAATAAGATGTCAATATTATTTCAATTTTTGTGTTATTTAGACAATTTATCCATCGAACCCTATATATATATATATATATAATATTCTGACAATTTTACACACTCTATGACCAGAAAAGAAAACATTTATACGAACTAAAGAAAAATTGAGTAAAAAGTAGTCGCCGTTAATGAAACTTGCATAAAAGAGGGATTTTTTGCGCAAATACTTATATATATATATATATATATATATATATATATATATATATATATAATTACCTTCCCAAGAATGGTGGCACAAATGGCCCAAAAACTACAGACCAATTACATGTCTTCCCACTACTTACAAACTGTTGACAGCTCTATATAGATATAGATATATTCGATCTTAGAACCAAAAATTGCATACTACATCTTGAATAAAAAAGGGTGCAAACGTGGCTCTTACGTATGTAAAGAAAATTACTAATTAATAGTATCATCTTGGAAAACTGCTTTTCTACAAAGAAAAATTTCAGTACTGCCCGGATAGATTACTTTAAGGCATTCGATAGTGTACCCCATCCCCGGATCTTAAATATATACAAGGTATCACCCATTGTCATCAATTTTATCAAACAAAGTATGTCGATATGGAAAACAATACTTCAACTCAATCATATAAATTGAGTCTATAAGTCTGGTGAAATAAACATCAAGAGAGGAATATTTCAAGGTGAATCTTTGGCTCCCTTGCTATTTTTTATATCCTTAATAGCATTAACCAGCGAACTTAATAGGACGGAAATATTGCTATATCGCAAAAGAAAATAAGCCATCTATTTTACATAGATGACTTAAAGTTTTATTTTACAAAGATCATTGCAACAAACCTCCTCTATTAGCTTAGACTCTGTGGTAACAATCAAAGATTTAGAGCAAGAAGAAGCTTCTAAGTACCTTGGTGTAAATAAAAGTGAAGGAATTTACTTTATAAAATGAAAGAAATAGTGGGAAATGAGTACTATAGAATGATGCGACTGATATTAAGAACCGAATTCTCAGAACAGAATTATTGCCATTAATAGCCTTTTAATCTCAATGGTTCTATATAGTTTCAACATCTTGAATTGGACTCTAAATGATATCAGACGAATGTATTCTAAGACAAGAAAGCTTCTTTCTAAGCATAAAATGCATCATCCAAAGGCGGATGAAGACCATTTTATACATAGTCCGTAAAGAAAATGGAAAAGGTCTTATTCAAAATGGTAAAGCCGATGTTGATAAAGTTAATAGTTGATTGTTACGAGCATCTGGATAAAAAACTGAAACTTAGAAGGATTTATTCATGCAGCGCAAGACCAGAGATTTTTTCGCTAGAAACTTTCAGGTAAATATCATACATAATAGTGTGGGTCCCAATGCAGGTTCTGTGACAGATATCGGGAAATCATGGAGCATCTAATCCCAGAATGTTCTGTACTTACGCTAGATGAATATAAAAACCGTCACCATAGAATGGAGTAATATTTATATTAGACAATGTGCAGAAAAGATGTTAACAAAACACTGGTATGAACATCACCCAGCACCAGTTACAGAAATAGAATATAGCATAATTCTCTGGGATTACACCATATTTACAGGCAGGGAGATTGAAGCAAATAGACCCGACATAATTATCAAAAACCGAGGAAAAAAATTGCCTACTAATTGATATGAATTGCCCAGCGGATTGTAACATAGCAACCAAGGAATTTGAAAAACTATTGAAGTATAAGAACCTGGAAATTGAAATAGAAAAAAATGTGGAAATTGAAGACAAGAATAAAATTAGTCATAGTCGGTGCGCTTGGAATGATAAAAAAGGAACACAACAATACATTATAATTACCTGAAAATTTCAGCTTATAGGAAATCAAAAATTGTCTTGGTAAGTACAGCCCACATACTAAGAAGAAATTTGTCCATGTAACACTAGTGATGTTATGGCAATTAGAAAAACAAACTATAAAATGTAGCTATAATAACACACCACAACCTGTCTTAAATCTTCTCGCAGACTTGGTAGGGATTCTCGCAGAAATCGAAATGTAATAATAATAATAAAATATATATACCAAGCTGCCAGATGTTCGATATAGTATATATACTTGTCAGCAGTCAATATACCACATAACACCCTTGATCGCTTAGCTTTGGAGCGGGTAGAATGAAGATTAAGTGGACTCAGCAATTTTCAATCTGCTTGTTTGAATCATCTTCAAGAAGCGAGGGCAAGATCTAAAAGGTCAGCCAAACTAACAGTGATCTCATCTCACAATCCTCACACTTGCTCCATATGTGGCCTCCTTTGTAAATCACTAGCGGGTCTTAAATGCCACTTAAGATTATCGCATAAACTTTCATAACTGAATCAATAAGCTGAGAGATCCTCATACGTCGAAATCGGCGGGAGAGTTCATTATATATATATGATATTCAAACAGTTTTACACACAGAAAAGAAAACACATACAAACCAACAGAACCAATGAACCAACAGAAAAGAAAACACTTATAGGAACCAAAGAAAAACTGGATAAAAAGCAATACTTTGTCAGTAGTCTTTAACGAGCCTTGTATAAAAGGGATAGCTATTATTTTTTACAAATGTAAACAAATGCGAGACAAGTCTTATATATATATATATATATATATATATATATATATATATATATATATATATAATAACAGTTGAAGCATATATATATATATATATATATATATATATATATATATATATATATAATAACAGTTGAAGCAATATATATATATATATATATATATATATATATATAAATAACAGTTGAAGCAATATATATATATATATATATATATATATATATATATATATATATATGGCTGTCTGGCGTTTGTTTAGATTCGTAAAAAATAAAACGCTTGAATTTCCCTCTGCAGCGCGTTGATAGCTCAGGGATAGAAACTCCGACTGATGCCAAATGGGTCGGGTTTCGATCTCGGCTTGAAGCAATCGGATGTCTAACCGCACTGATGAGCTGTGAGATACAGCGAAACAGGCCTGTATGTGGATGACATTATTAAGCTCTCGAGTAAATTTCGGTTGAGAGGGTAATTCGAAATAGCAGCTGTCTTCAATAAAATGAATCGAGCACTATGGCTGTTTGCCGTTTGTTTACATTTGTAAAAAAAAATAATACACTTGAATTCCCCTTTCCCTCTGCCGGGCGCTGATAGCTCAGGGTTAGAAACTCCGACTGATGCCAAATCGGTCGAAACAAGTGGATGTCTAGCCGCACTGATGAGCTGTGATACAGCGAATCAGCTCTGTATGTGGATGACATTATATATATATATATATATATATATATATATATATATATATATATATATCCTAACGTTTGAAGAAATAAAAATATATTAAATGTGTGTTTGTGTACACACACACACACACACACAGAGGGAGAGAGAGAGAGAGAGAGAGAGAGAGAGATGATATATATATATATATAATTATATATATATATACACGCAGAGATGGAGGTAGGAGAGAAGAGGAATGTGTCGACAATCTCGTTTTGAAAGGGTGATTAATAGATTTTTGTGATTTTATCGATTATGGAATTATTGGATGAACTTAAATGGAAACAAAAAAATATTTCTGTCCCAAGAAGTTCACGTTTTCATCTAGAACGGGTGCTTCCTATATCTTTATTCACAAGATATTTAATAATTATTGACCTTTCATGCTCATTCCTTGTCCACCATCTTCCTCTTTCGTCTTCCATGTTTTTCACGATGATGATGATCATCATTTTCCGTTTCTTTCTTTCTTTCTTTCTTTCTTTCTTTCTTTCTTTCTTTCATTCTTTCTTTCTTTCTTTCTACTATAACAATTTGTTGATCTCGCAGAAGCCATTTCTTCTGTTTTTTTTTTTTTTTTTTATCGTCGTTCGTTTGTAGTTTTGTTATCAATTTTTTCACAACCCAACCTTACAAAAAAAAAAAAAAAAAGAAAGAAAGAAAAAACCTGTACAAATACTTCTGGTTCGAGGATATTCTAAACAATTTGCATCTTAGCCGCCATTGCTAAAACATTTCGCCCTTTCCCAGAATCCTACCCCCAACCCCGCGACAAAACTGAATTTCCACATCTTCTGCATTGTTGCGTGGGTGGGAAATCAACAGGAATACCAGAAATTAACCGCAAATGCATAAAATGTTTATTTTGTTTGTTTCAGGTCCCCCCCCCCACGATTCTGCGAACCACTTGACGATGCCCTTTTTCTTTGTAATTGCAAGCATCAATTTCCACGCGCGATCACGGTGATTCTCTCTAATGAAAGGGCGCGAAGCATGTAGGCTGTTTGGAAAATGTGGCGGCAGCGGCACGTGTCGCGCTGGTGAGTTCAAACATCGCTTCTCTAACAACTACTTGCAGGTATGACTTTAGTGAAAAAAAAAAGGCGGGGAAGTCAAGCTCAGGCTGTTTGAAATTCTAAACTCAGAACCAAAGGAAATACGCTCTCTTGCGAAAAATATCGCACAAATCGTCATCAGTACAAATGAAACGCATTACTGCCTAACTGTGCTTACATTCACTGTTTGGTCTCCATAAACATTTGGCAAGTATCAATGAATATCAATGCGTGTTTTTTTTGACGCATGGAGGAATTTAATTATACACTTCTGAATTGTATTCACTTTCATGTCAGATGACATTTTGCCAGATTGCTATCTGTAAGAAGGCGTGAAATAAAGCTTATTGGCAGGAAAGTTCAACCACTACTGCTATATCACTAACATCTGCCTTTGATGTCGTGCACCAACATAATAAAATAGAGGACATTTCTTCCGAAGGACACACTTGTCTTTTTTTAAATACTAAAGTTCAAGCAACTCAAGGCCCAAGAGCCACTCAAGATAAAGAGTTACTGTCAAATTAGTTATGATTAAGTGTGTGACACAAAAGAAAGATGAGATGGCGGCAAGTTAAGATAAGGAAGAGAGATAACGAGGGCGTCTATTTCATAAAGTAGCAGTTCTTGGGGAAAAAACTGTATACATTGTATTGCAATACGGGGGAAATGAGGGTGGTTCGACTTCGTTGAAGTATCATGGCGTATAGTAGTTGTAAAGATATAAACTAGAGCATCTAAAAAATAAATGTAATAAAGCAGCCATAGGTTTGGTTTGGTATGGTTTGGTTTGTTTTGTTTTATGGCATATCAACCTCAATGGCTTATTTAATGCCGATAAAATTTTATTGATGTAATAATTTTTACAAAAATGTATCGCTGGTATTAAAACCTATTTTTACACTTTCATAGTGCTTTGATCTACATTTAGGGGTTATATACTGCGGGTAATACTGTATTGCTAGTAATAATTATTTATAAAAATATATTGCTCGTAATAATTTTTCTTCAAAAAATTAATTGCTGGTATTAAAACCTATTTTTACACTTTCAGGGTGCTTTGATATTAGTTTGTGGGTTAACTATTTGCCCATAGTTGAGACCCTAAAAGGTGCTACCACCCGGGGTCAGAGTGGACCTAGGGACACCAGTAATTAAGAGGTGGTTCCACGCTCCTCAGAACCTCCTGATCAGAGGCCTTGCTGTTGGACGCAGTTTATCGTCTTACCCAGGACGTGGATGTAGTTTATCGTCATACCCAGGACGAGCAGCCACAGGCTTGCGACGTTGCGTTTGTGGAAAAGAGGTTGAAGTGTGGAGAGTAATTATTTCCTCGCCATACAGAGTAAACGATTTTGAACCCTACTGTGGCTAGAGAGTCAAGATTGAATTGCTCGCCCAAATATGATAGCAATAGTCCATTTTTGGTCTAATCTGACTCTTGAAAAGGAAGGAAAGGTTTTGTCAAAAAAAAAATAAAAATAAAAAAAAAATGCTGGAAACAATTTCATGTGAAATTTATTTTTGAAAAGGCAATGAAAATAAAATATTCATATTAGTTTCGACTTATGCTAAATTTGACTTTATGAACTAATTCTTTCGGACATGATTTTTCAGAAAACTCGTGCGGTGCAGCAGTCGAAACAATTTAAAAGTAAAAAAAAAAGCTAAAAAAGGAAAAGATTAAAAGAAAAGCGCTACAAATGAATCAGTGAGTAATAATAATAATAATAATAATAATAGTAATAATAATAATAATAGTAATAATAATAATAATAAAAATAATAGTAATAGTAATAATAATAATAACAGTAATAATAATAATAGTAATAATAATAATAATAATAATAATAGTAATAATAATAATAAATAATAATAATAATAATAATAATAATAATAATAGTAATAATAATAATAATAATAATAATAGTAATAATAGTAATAGTAATAATAATAATAGTAATAATAATAATAATAGTAATAATAATAATAATAGTAATAATAATAATAATAATAATAATAATAATAATAATAATAATAATAATAATAATAATAGTAATAGTAATAATAATAATAGTAATAATAATAATAGTAATAATAATAATAATAGTAATAATAATAATAATAATAATCAAAATACAAAGACCTGGAAATTGAAATAGAAAAAATGTGGAAATTGAAAACAAGAATAATACCAGTGGTAATAGGTGCACTTGGAATTATAAAAAATGGAACAAAACAACACATTGAAAGAATCCCTGGAAACCCCAGCTTAAGAGACATACAGAAAATTGTCTTATTAAGTACAGCACACACACTAAGGAGAACTTTGTCTATGTAACGCTAGCAACTTCATCGGAGATAAAAAAAAAAAAAAAAAAAATTATGAAATGTGGCCATAACAACACACCACCCTGCCTTAGGTCTTTCCGCAGACTTGGTAGGTAGTGTGTCCATAGCAGAAATCGAATGATGATGATGATGACAATAACAATAATAATAATAATAATAATAATAATAACAATAATAATAATAGTAATAATAATAATAATAATAATAATAATAATAGTAATAGTAATAATAATAATAGTAATAATAATAATAATAATAATAATAATAATAATAATAATAATAAAAAATAATAATAATAATAATAATAATAATAATAATAATAATAATAATAATAATAATAATAATAATAATAGTAATAGTAATAATAATAATAGTAATATTAATAATAATAATATAATAATAATAATAGTAATAATAATAGTAATAATAATAATAATAGTAATAATAATAATAATGATAAACTTGAAATCGAAATCTCAAAAATGTGGCACGCGAGAACATTGACAATTCCAGTTGTAATTGGATCCCTCAGCTTGATTGGAAAAGATTTCGATAGACTCATCGAAGGGATCCCTGGTTGCCCATGCCTTAAAGAAATTGTACTCAGAAGTACAGTTCACACCACAGGAAGGGCTTTAGCTATGTAAAATGTGTGTGATCTGTTTTCTTTTCAACAAAAGCTCAGTGGAAATGCCATGATGCCATTTCCGACCTTAGATTTCTGATTCGGACTAGGAAAGAAATGTGTAAACGCCAGAAATAAAAGAAAATAATAATAATAATAATAATAATCTGAAAGAAGCTGGTATGAACACCACGCAGACCCGGTTACGCAGATAGGACCTGTTACAATTCTATGGGACTACACAATACACACTGACAGAACAATCAAGGCCAACTGGCCAGATATTGTTATTAAAGACCACAAACAAAAACGATGCCTCCTTATTGATATGGCAGTCCCTGCAGACTGCAATGTATCTTTGCAAATATTCAAAAAGCTGTCAAAATATAAGGACCTGGAAATAGAAATCTCGAAAATGTGGCACATGGGAACGTCAACAATACCTGTTGTAGTTGGAGCCCTAGGATTGGTCGGAAAAGATTCCAGTAGACTAATTGAAGGGATTCCTGGAACTCCATGCCTCAAAGAGATACAAAAATTGTTCTCACAAGTACAGCTCACACGAAGGGCTTTATCTATGTAATATTTTTTTTGTCAGTGGAAAGTGTCATGATGCCATTTCTAACCTTAGGTCCCTGGGCAGAACCCGGAAAGAAATGTGTAGACGCCAGAAATCAAAGGAAATAAAAACAATAATAATAATAATAAATTCAAAATGCAGTTTGAAATAGGTATAGAAGTAAAAGTAAAGCACTGAAGCTGCAAAATACTTAAAAAAGAAATCAAAGGCAAATGCAACCGACCAGATAGAGAAACGATGGCAAGATAAACCACTTCACGGCCAATACTCTGCCAGTACCAAACAAGCTGATTTAGACAAACACCGTACCCATACTCCATTTTTTGTCGGATCTTATTTTTGTAATGGTCCGCTTATTATAACAATTAAGAAAGTACATGATTACACCTGCCATGTTCTAAGGAGCTGACCATTTTTTCAGCATCTTTAGCGATGGAGCGTATATATGAATTCCACTTGAGGTATAGATGAACTTTCGTCCTGATAGATTTTGAGCTCTCTCCAATAGACTCCTAGCTTTGAACTGCAGGAATCTCTTTGAGAGCTCAAATATTCATCATAACTTGAGAATTCAGGACCAGTTCGTTGATGGGGGAAAATTACTGGCTTGGTTTGGGAGGTGTTGAAAATTACAAGATAATTTTTCTCCCATTCAGTTGTAGAATTGCTGTTAAATTAATTCTTCAGTCGTTCGTGTTATTACGAAACTAATTAGCACCTAATGAATATTTCAGGAATATATCATATTGCTTATGTTCATATACTCAATGCAAGAATTTCATACCAAATGTTCTTCAGATGATCTCCACTCTTTAGTTCGAACGGTTCAGATTTTTACAGCTAGGACACGCGATGCTAATCACTCTCATCTCCTGTGTATTTTAAAAGTAAGAAGAACGTTTTCAAAGAATTTTCACTTTCAGGAACAGGCTCCCTCGTGGGTGCTTTCCTAGAGACAACAAACATAACATTTTCAAGTCAAAGCTCA